CAAGGTTTTTCATAGTTTTCAGTGCTTCTAAGTTTCTTTTAATGGATGTACATTTTTTATATCGAGCTGGGATCCCTCCTTGTTTGGCTGCTTGCCGCCGGAGTAAATGAAGCCGTCATCACGATTCAATATCAATGCTCCCGGGACATGCTGTTGCAAATAAAGCCGGTCAGCTTGACATGTGTACCGGAGTTCATACTGCAGCTACCGGACTTCTTACACGTCAGGAGGAGGACTAAAGATGCTTACAGCATGAAAAATATCCAGCTTAATCATGCTCCCTCACCCTCATTCACTATGGGGAGTGTCCAGTCGCTGAAGAGCAACGTGGAAAAACTCAGGTGTGTGTCTGATATCAGAAGGATTTTGAGAAATGCTATGTGATGGTGCTTTTTGAGACATGGCACACAAACAACGATCGAGTTTTTTACCTGTCAATCGATGGATTTGAAGCTCCATGTGGTTTGGATTGTGAAGCTGGGACAACGGTGAAACGTCAAGGTGGAGGGGTATGTCTGTATGTAAACCAGAGATCCTGTAAATCAATTACCATACGTAAAAGTAAATGTACGCCAGATGTGGAACTACGTTGTGTCATTGTGTCCCTTCTACCTCCCCCGGGAATTCCCTAGACTTTTGTCTACAGTGGTGTATTTTAACCCCAAAGCGAATGCTCAGGTTGCGTCTAGCACCATCTTTGATGTGGTCCAGAGGCCACAGTCAATCTCAGCTGACGCACCAAATTTTATCCTCAGGATTTTAATCATGCAACGTTAAAAAAGACGCTAAAACACTTCCACCAGTATGTCACCTGCCCTACCAGGCAGGACAGGAAGCTAAATCTCTGCTATGGATCTATACACGAGGCCTACAACACATTTTCAATCCCCCTTTGGGCTCTTCAGACCACAAATGTGTTTCATCTTGTGCCAACATATAGACAATGCTGAAGAGATGGAAGGTGGAGACCAGAGATGTGGAAATCTGCACCAAGGATTCTGTATCCTTTCTTCAGGAATGTTTTAGCTGTGTGGACTGGGATGTTTTCCCTCAGGCCTGTGAGGATGACTTGGACACGCTGGTGGATGCAACCTGCTTTCTGCAGGGATGTGATTGTACCCTGTAAGCAGGTTAGAATTGACCCAAATTACAAACTTTGGGTTACAAAGTCCGTTAAGTCATGCATACAAAATAAACAAATGGCTTTTAGACAGGGGTCAGTGTCTGGGCTGCAGGAAGCCACCAAAGAGTTGAAAAAGAAAACTAACGGCTAAACACGATTATGAAAGTAAGTTGGAAAATAAGATGGAAGCAAACAAACTAGGTTCAGCTTCAACAAGCATGAAAGTTGTTGCTGGTCAAGGAAGGGAAATACACAATACCAATATATTTTTAGGTTGTTTCTACTCTGATGTGGAAGTTAGTGTCTGTAAAACCAAATCATGTCAAATTCTACCCATCTGTTCCGTGGGGTACCCTCTGTTCTGGGTCCACTCCTGTTTCTGCTGTACAAACACCTTCTTGGACAGATTGATTATATTCACATTGTCTCTTATCACCTATATGCAGATGCTCCTTTAAGGATTCTGAGCTCTATAAACTAACCCTAACTTCCTGCAGGTAAACTCTGGAAAGACTGGATGTCTAATCATCGCCCCTGAGAGCATGGTTCCCTGATTAGTCTAAAACTTGGTCATTTATCCTCTGCTGTCAAGTCAAACTGAAGGAATTTGGGTGTTTTCGACCAATCAGTGTCTCTTGAAGGCCACTCAACAACGTTGGTCTGAAACTGTTTTTATCATTTAAGAAATATCTCCAGACTGAGAAGGTTGGTGTCCAAACATGAACCTGAAATGGTTCTCCATGCCTTTACCTCCTCCCGTCTAGATAACTGTAACACACTCTTCACGTGTTTTAACTAAAAGCTTTTGACCGCCCTCAGTTGGTCCAGAACTCTGCAGCGAGGCTCCTAACTGGAGCAAACAGAAGAGCACACATCACTCCTGTTCTGGTGTCTCTGCACTGGTTACCCGTTAACTCTAGAGTTCATTTAGAGTCCTGACTAGAACTTTCAGGGCTCTACATGCTCAAGCTCCTCCCTATATTACTGACCTGTTAAAGTCTAATGTCCAGTTTGCCCCGCTTATCAGAAACTGTGCTGATCCTGCTGCTGTGTATTTGTTTTTATTCACATTTATTAAAACCATGTTTTGATGTAAAAACTGCATTTAAAATTATGGAAATGCCATGTTTCTCCAAGTGTGTGTGTGTGTGTGTGTGTGTGTGTGTGTGTGTGTTCATCTCTAGTCTGTTTAGATACACAAAAATGATCACATTTATCAATCAAGGTGTTTTTAAAAAAACATCTTTATTTTGTTAAGTTTACTGGCCTGACTCTTCTGCTTTGGTTTGACTTCCTGCCAGAATTGACGCGGCTCACGATAAAAAATTGAGCGAAACTATCGCTGCACGGTCGAGCCTTCATGGCGCTTTGCAGCTGATGTGACTGAGAGCGTCGGTTAACGAGGGCGCCGATTAGAAGCGCTCGTCATTCCACATCGTTGTGCTTCCGCGTCTGGTGTTTTCCGGGCGTTATGCTCCAACCCGAGCCCTCAGGTCCACCCACCAGAACCTTCTAGAAGCTCCAAAGACCATATATAAACGTCCAGGTGATGGCTCCTTCCAGACTTTGGAATGATCTTCCTTTATCCTTACGTAGCGTTGGCAGTCTGGACACTTTTATAAACAGCTGTTGTTTTACCTTGGTGAATTCTTCTGTTTGCATCAGGAGAATGAATCCCTCTGGGATTAATAAAGTATTTTTCAATTGAATTGAATCGAATGTGTCCTTTTACTTGTGCCACTGTCGCTTGATTCACTTTGTAAATCCTTAGTGAGTTCAGGCGTCCATCATTCTGTGTTCGTTCGTAATCATCTTCTTTTTTCTTATTGAACACCGAGCAGTGATTAGATGGTTTTTTACTTTCGGCTGACATGTTTGTGCCAGAACTTCTGCCTTCGTCAGAGCCGCCAGCTGTTCTTGGCGTGACCTCCGTATATGTGCAGGCAGCAAAGGACGATGTAGCCCTCGGCTGCCCGCGTCCTTCATGCTGATAACACAGTCCATGTGTGATCCACCGACGTTTCTGCGCAGATGGCGTACCTCCTCTACGCAGTAGCACCGTGAACAGAGACGCAAAAGCATAACTTTCATGGACTTAAAATAACCAGACAGAATGATGCACCCTGGATATAACATAACACCCATAACAAGGAAGATTATAACAGTGAAGGAAAATAACAACAAATACACACAAACCGTATATGACAGTTGGGAGAAGATGAGTACACCCATAAGACAAGATATCATCAGTTGTATATGAACTACCATGCTATAACACGTACACGGGAGAAACGGGACGTCAACACACGAAAAACAACTTAAAACGAGTGTGAGTAAGAAACGAGTGGAAGGCACAAGAGCAGCAAAGCACAATAAAATCCTGCCGTAACGGACCCCTGCACAAGATGATCGAATGGACTGGGATAACACACGGATCATAAACACACAGCAACACAAATTCTAAAGATGGATCAAAGAAGCGACAGAGATGAGGAGACGTGGACCCAGGAAAATGAACAGGGAGGAAGAAATTCACCTGTAAGTCGCTTTGGACAGAAGCGTCTGCTAAATACATGAACACAAACGAAGACGTTTACCTCCTGGACCACTCGTGTGATCAGTGGAGAAGGCGCGGGCAGCAGAGGGCGATGTCGTCCAAGTGCCGCCATCAACATCCAGTGGGTACTGACGAAGGTAGCAACAAACCCGTATCACTAGAAGTAAAGACAAAGAAACTTAGGAGATGCTCGACATGAAAGTTTCCCTCTGAGTTTCTGAGATCCATCTGTTCCAGCTGACTTTTGTGCGACGTCCTGCTCATCCTCTTCCTCACTAGCTTCTTTTCATAATGCTGTTTCTGCCTTTTCTGAAGTTTTCACGCTTCCTTGTTTGTTCATTCTTATTTTTGATGTTAATTTTTTATTCTTTTTTATTGTGCTTGTTCAGTGCCTTGTGGTTTTTTAAACATGCCATATATCAATCATCTTCCTTTGCATCCAGATGTTTCTTCCCTGCCATCTGGTTCCTCTCACGATGGCGTCACAGAAAATCCCTTTTTCGATGTGAACCAACCTGCATCAGAGATCTCAGAGGGAGCGGAGCCAGAGACGCAGGACGATCACTCCGTGGAGATGGCAGCAGGACAAAACTCTTCCTTTAAACAGGTAGAATGTGCTGGTGGAGGTTCGTAGTCATCTAGGTCACTGTAGTCCTAGTAGGTTCAAACGGAGGCAGCTGGACCTCTTACGCTTCCTGCAGTGGCGGGATGTAGGAGGCTACGATCCCTGAAGAGAGCAACTTTGAGCAGATGTCCTTAAGCACCATGCATGACTTACTTCCCTCTACACATCATGCTTCTGAACCGAAAGCAAAAATGTAGGATAAACAAAAGCAGCACGAACACGGCTGGCATCTGAAAGCAGAAGGTTTTTATATAAAATGTTTGGTGCATGTGTGCATTCAGAGTGGGAAACGAACTGTTCTTGAGTCTTGAAAGAAAACGTGGCTTTTGACTTGTGGTTGAAAAAAATCAAACAAGCCGTCCCAGAAATATCAGAACCCTTTTCTACTGATCTGAGAGCTAAAACACCTGTCAGCAGGTGCAGATGCCTGAGAGTAGCTACACCCCCTCTGGTAAACGTTGGTACTGCATGTCATTTCTAAGCAATTTTCTTCTCTTCAAAGTCAAAATTAGATCCGGAGCCTTTAAGACAACGTCTGGGGCGTGAGCCCTAGCAGCTCGCTTCACCCCACTGCCACCCCATCTCTCAGGGCTCCACAGAGGCCTGTGTACAATTCAACCCTTCCCTCTAGCATTGTTTAAGTATTGTTGTATGTGAATAGTGTGTCTTTGTGTTTATATCTTGTCTCTTTGCTTCTGCAGGACGTTCTGAGGAAAAGACATGCTGCTGATTCAGGTCTTGCAAGTTCATTTTTGCATCCTTTTTCTTCAATAATGAAAAAAAGAAAAACTGAATATGGCGCCTTGTTTTCTGTAACGACCAGATAACTGATTCGGTCCAAAGTTTTAGGATATTCTGATTTACAACAAATTTATTTTCACAGGTTATCTGTCGGACCACTCAGAGGGTGTGTCAGTCCACAAGAGGAAGGCGGAGTCTCAGCAGGATTCTGTTTCAGCAATAACAAGTACAGGTGAAACTAGAAAAATTAGAAGATGGTGTAAACGTTTATTTATTTCAGTAAAAGTAAAAGGGGCCCAAACCAAGTACTGCGTATTGATGTAATTTAGACTTTTTCAAAGGTCTGACATTTCTCTATTTAAAGTTCTGGTTTCTTTATTTCATGTAATATTCTAATTGTCTGAGATGTTTAATGTGGAGTTTTCATAAGCTGTAAACCTGATTCATCACAAGTATTTGTGATGTCTGAGTCTGTCTGATATATTAGATTCACCTTTAAGTTGAATTACTAACATAAATGAACTTTTGCACCATATGGTTAGCTCTTTGAATACTTGTCTCATATTGTTATCCTAGTCTTAGTCATGGTAGCAGCATCCCTGCAAAGGAAGCTAAAACACCTTGGTCTGGTCTGAGTCTTCAGCAGAGGCGGTTTTACCATTTGGCATAGGTCGGCAGCCGCCTGGGGCCCCCTTGTGTTGGGGTCCCCCTAGCCCTGACCGCCGGCACTCCTCTGTTAATGCAACAATATTCTTATTACCAACCTGTGGCCGCAGACGGGATCGAACATGCGCACTTCTCATTGGCCACTTATCTGGGGTTGGGTCGCGGGGGCAGTAGCCTAAGCAGGGAGGCCCGGACTTCCCTTTCCCCAGCAACTTGTACCAGCTTCACCAAGGAAATTCCAAGGCTTTTATAGACATTGTTGATCCCACAGTGGGAAGGTTCACTTACAGCAGCACAAACAGAGAAAAGAATGAAGTAAAATAATACTACGGTAAACACACAAAGGCATTAAGCTGTTATGTAATCTTCAGGCACTAAAAATAACGAATACAAAGGAAATGTGTTTCCAGAAATATACAGCATAAGGGACACAGACATACTATGTAAATCCAGTATTGCACGAGTACTGAACACAAACTGAGTCTTGCACTGATGTTACTGTGTACCAGGATAATACCAGTACCAGTTTTATATATATATATATATATATATATATATATATATATATATATATATATATATATATATATAACCTTATTTGATAAATATCAAAATAAATAACACAACTGTTTGTATTTTATCATCGTAGTGTTGTACAAAACTCTTCAACCGTTTCTAAATAATGCAAATATTAAAACCCAGCTCCGTGTACTCCTATTCTTCTTTTATGCCCTCTGGAATAACTGAGGGACACCTCTGGACAGTTTGTGTGATGGGTGGGTCCTTGTAGGTTTATAAACTGCAAATGAAACTGAAACAGAAGTCTTTGCTGTGAATTAAATTTACTGTGTATAGTCATTCCTTTTGCTGTTACTTTTCAAACTTTTGATTTTCCTTCTCGGAAGTTGGGATTTCCGAGCTCTGAGGAGAATGCACCATTAGCTGATGGCAATGTTAACTGTAGCTAAAGGATCAAGCTAACGGTATCCTAAACAAATTATTTACCTGCTGGAGCAGATTATGACGATGATAACTCACTTAGAACGTTGTTGATGTCATCACCTAGTCACCCATTGCATTTAGTGAAATGAACCCAAAGGTACGATGCGTTCTCTCTGTCATGCTGTTAGCCTCGCTTACAGTTCACCTCCAGCAACTGATGACATTATGCTCTTGCCCATGCAGTGCTGTCTATCTTGGTAAATCGCTGTCTCATACGTTCTCGTTAATGAAGGACTGGTACCAAAACAAGGCACCATTTCATCTCACGTGAGTCAGTCTTCAGTAGGTACCAGTGACCTGAGGGGGAGTGTTTCTCAGGAAGTCAGTCACCATTTCCGTTGTTTTACTGGTGTTAAAGCAAAGGTCATAATGTGCACAGCAGTCCACAAAGTCAATGCTGACTGACCTGTACTCCAGGTCCATCCCCACAGACACACAGCCGACAATGGCTGAGCCATCAGAGAACTTCTGAAGGTGACAGCTTCTGGTGTTGTAGGTGAAGTCTTAGATGGTGATAGGAAAAGGTAGGAGCGCCGTACCCTGTGGAGCTCCAGTACTGCGTACAACCACCTGCCCTGATGAGAAGCCTGCAGACATGTTAACTTCAGCTCCTACTTTTTTCCTCTAATTTCTTCGTAAAACCTCTTTTTTCCTGTCACCAATCTCTGGATTGTCTGATTTTGATGGACATTTCTTTATTTTTTGCAGTCTTGGACCTTTCTTTGGGATACAGATTATTTCTGATCCAACAGAGGTCACTCTTTTGGTGACATCTGACATAAGCTTGGTTTATGCTTCACGTGTTCACAAGGTCTGCACGGCTCCGCGGGGCAAAATTACATGATTTTAGCAACCTCGCCCCTCCGCACGGCCCAAAGTTTCCGCACCACACACCTAGGAAATTTTCCAACCACGTGGATGGTCCTGCACGAAAAAACATGGCGCACTGGCAAGCGCTCATGGTGGCGGAGGTTTGTAATTACAGATATCTCTATGATTCGATCCATAAAGATCACTGTGATACAAATATTGTTAACAATTGCTGTCACAGTCCAAAAAGACAAGAACACAGTGAAAGTGATTTCTATTTCTACTATGGTGTGGTTGTATGCATGCTGCCCCCTACAGTCTTGGAGAATATTGGCTCACAGTGGAGACAAGCTGCAGAGGTAGGAAGGAATCATAAACTCTGCAAATTCTGATGCACGTTTCATCTGCGTGTCTCATGTCCACGTGGGATGTACCTGTGTCGAGCATAAACCAAGCTATACAAGGCCTGTCCTACGCTCCACCAACCCTGGCCTAAACTGAAAGCTAATCTCCTACCATCTTTATGCAGATGACATCCAACTGTACATCTCCTTTAAGCCCCATGAGATGTCTAAGCTGCAGCTGTTACACACCTGCTTAGACTCTATCAGAACCTGGATGGTGGGAGCTTTCTTCAGCTGAATGAAGATAAGACTGAGATCCTCATCTGTGCCCCAGACAAGCTGGTTCCCAAAGTCAGACTCTCTTGGTCAGCTTGCTTCTCACACCAAACCTTCTGTCAGGAATCTTGGCATGACCTTTGACCCAGCTCTCACCCTGGATTCTCATGTCAGTTCTCTTGTTGGCTTTTCCTTCTTCCATCTCAGGAACGTTGCTAAGCTGAGTCCCATTCTGTCCCGCTCTGAACTTGAGACAGTTAATAGCAGACTGTATACCTGAAGTAGTTAAAGGAGAAGTGAAATGTTACCAAGAGCCAAACAGAAGAGATGAACATAAAAAGGCTAAAACCACCAGGTGCCCGATTCAGGAAAAAAAAAGAAAAAAGAGGAGAAAGATAAAGGTATGTACGCTCTCATGATGCATGTTTTCAGTTATTTGAACCAGTTAACTGGGATTTTAACGGTTAAATTCGGTCAACTAATTGCTAACAGAGCTAATAGGGCTGAAATATTGAAACGAATATTCAAATGGTTCGAAAACATTCCTTGAATCGTTTTTTACAGATTCAAACTAGGATTTGCCCGGGGAGTAATTCCATGTAGAACCGCCACTGGGCCATAGAGAAAGGAAAACAACAAGTCAAAGAAAATCAATAAAACAGAGAGACCAAAAGAAAGAAAGCAAAAACAAAGACCAGACTACACACACACGGACACCATCACAATTCCAGATATCCGGGAGTCACAGAACGTATACAAAGGACCGTGATAAACAACAAATCAGCAGAACTGTCAAACCTCACATGAAACTCAGATAGCTTCTAGTACACCCCAAGAACAAAATAGAACCAGACAAGAAATATAATGTAATCTATGAAATACCACGCATGTCGTGCAATAAAACATACATAGGGGAAACCGGGAGAACATATGACATAAGAAGAGCAGAGCACCAGAAGGAAAACGAGAAGGAAACAACAGAGACTCACAAGGTCAACAAAGAAAAAAGCAGAGGAGCAAACCCTCAAGTCAGCCATCTCAGATCACTGCAAACGAAATAACCACATCATGGACTGGGATCAAGGGAAAATTATCAACACGGAGAACAACCGGTTCAAATGTTGGGTCAGGGAGGCGATAGGAATAAGGAAACGGGAACATTGGAACATGAACAGAGATGAGGGGGGCCTATCAGCTGTCTCTCATTTGGGATTCCCTTCTCCAAAGACCGGCCAGCGGAGGTGGGCGCGACCAGCCCGGATCTGACAGATCCAGGCTGGTCGCGCCCACCAGAAGAACAGCTGATAGATGCGTCACACAAACACCTGTGACATTTCTGAAGACCACAGATGACGGTCGAAACAAGTGAAGGTAACTAGAAACACCTTCTTGTGCGAAGCTGAAAGAACTTTGTTTAATATTTAAAAAGAGGACATAATGAACATTGTTAAGAAGTTCTGTGGTATGTGTGCTCCTGGGTTCTTACGTGCAGCATCTCCTGGTTTTGTTTCATCACTGGAAGACATGTTGGATTGTGGACCTACTTAAAATATTCCTGCCATCGCTTGTTTAAATTCTCAGTTGACATCAGCAGCTTCCAACTCGCACTGTAAACGGCGTGAGTTCATTAATGCCTGTGAGATGCCGAATAGTTTGTCCGAACTATTTTGGCGATGATCAGTAATTGTTCTCTATGGCATTGCTAAACTGATTCTAGGCTCCAGATTTTGCTTCAGCAACTGCCATTGCTGGACAGCACTTGGCCCTCTGGTACCCGACTGCTATTGCTGGTGACCCACAGACATGCCATGTGCTGCTGGCGTCCTCTTTCAGCCTGATGGCTCCCCTAAATGTCCTCCAGCAGGTCCAGGGGTTAGCTCTGTTTTTGAGCCCGGAACAACATCAGGCATTATTTCACTCTAACTCTTTCATCGGATAGGCAGTAGTTAAAGGAGAAGTGAAATGTTTGTGTGTCATTAATTTCTTACTGTTTACTTAATAGCAGACTGTTTACCTGAAGAGGCAGAACCTGTTCCAGCAAAGAGTCATGATGGTCATGGGGTGTGGACCAGTTACCAAGAGCAGCTGATGTCTGATCGAGGAGCAGAGCCGGAGTCGCTTCTGTCCGATGACATCACAGCAACCCTTCAAGTCCTTTAAGGCTCAGTTGGAGAACCACTTCACGGTCTGTAGCCATGTAGTAAAGAACATTATTGATTCTCAACTGATAAGCTCAGTAAAATGGTAAAAAATAGAAATTTTTCAGGGCTGCTGGCAGAAAGTTGAAACCGAAGTTCTTCTGTCCTTAAAAGAAAGTCAGCAGCAAGTCTCCTCTCTGCTCACAGCTGTCCATCAGCAAAGGTATCGCCCACTTTTCTGCCCGTTAACACCAGTGGCGGCTCCAGAATGTTTTCCTGCAGGTGCTATGAAGGAGCTAGTCTTTTTATTGAGGGTGCTATGAAGGAAGTGGTCATGCGTACCTATTGTTCTCTAAAACACCTTCAACACTAGCAGATACACATGCGCGCACAACACCTCACCTGAAAACAATCATTAATGTACATCATAAACATGAACAATCGCTGACTTCTCCATGAAATCATAAACACATACAGCCACACAGAAAACCATCTATAGTGTTGCAAGGTTAGCTAACGTTAGCAGTTAGCATTTCCAGCGGCAGAACCCTGGACTGCTGCGGGCGGTTGAGGGTTGGCTCTCTTCATCCAGATCCGTAGGTGTCTGTGGGTCTGAGATCACTTCCAAACATTCATTCGTGTCTGACTGAACCCGTGGAAATGTGGGCAACAAACACCGATCCATCTTACCGCTAGCTCTACCTTTCACTCGTTCACAGGTGGAACATGAGGTCAAAGGTTAACATCAATTTCCTGTTTTGGTTTAAGTTTTTACTATCTATCTGATAATTTACTGATTAGTTTTGTTTTGTATGTTAAATATTATCACATCCACACGTTACATTAAAATGTAATTGTAAAAAAAAAATCTAATATTTACTTGGGGGTGCCATGACTAATCCTGGGGTAGCTATAGCGCCCCCTGGCGCCGCCACTGATTAACACAGATGTTTGCCTTCCAACCCTGTGCTTTGGTTTGAGTGCAGGTTGTTGTTGCTGCAGCAGCTGGAAAGCAACATCACTGAGAAGCTGAAACAGCTGGAAGAAAGCTCAACAAACCTGAGCTCCATCAACAGTCAGATTCTGGTAAATACTAAACTACACCTACGTATATTACATATACACTCAAGTATATACTACTTCAAGTGATACTACGTCTATACATTAGTGATAGTGCAGCTACACCAAATTAACAGCGTGCTGTTACAATATTAAACCATTATCAAGTTTATCTGATGTAGTGTGATGATGATTGATCCTACATATTAATTATGACCAATAAGATGTGATGATTCCATATAAATATGAAATATCAACCTGATTGATCTTTTAATGTTTAATCAGAAGATTCTAGGGTTCTTTGCTTCTTCAGGGACCATAAACACACTTCGTATTAATTCAGACAGAGTCAGTATGTAGTTTATAAAATGAATTTAATTGTTTTCCCCTAAACTAATAATTTATACATGACAAGATATGAATAATGAGATGTGATGTAATGGATATGAGGTGATGTAATGTGATGTGTGAAATGTTGTAATGGAAGCTAGATGTTGTAGCAACCTTTCTTTGTATC